CCCTCCCTCCCCTGTAATGTCCTCCCCCCCTCCAATAATCTCCCTCCCCTATAATCATCTCCTCACCTCCCCTGCCCTTCTGTAGCGTGGCCGAGCTGCTTTCCGGTCCGCGACCCGGCGGGACTGATAGGAAGTGCACACTGAGTGTGCACTTCCTTTCAGTCCCGCCGGGTCGCGGACAGGAAAGGAGCTCGGCCACGCTACAGTGCCGGGGAGGTGAGGCACTGCGGCAGCCGCCTGAGCGCTCTCTATAGAGCGCTCAGGCGGCTGCAGAATTTAAAGGGCCGGCGATGGGGGCGCAGGGCGCCCCCTCCTATATGGCGCCCTAGGCGGCTGCCTAGTTCGCCTTATAGGAAGCGCCGGCCCTGGCTGTAGTTTTACCACTAACCCTGTGCTTGACATGCCACCAGGGAGGGCAGGCAACCATTGCCTTCAATAAGTTGAAGTGAAAAAAAAATGTTGTCTCTGTGTTCTAAATATAAACACTTTGTTGTCCATACACGCTTACAAAAAGTCAGTTCTCCCTTGCCTTTTGAACTCAGCTAAAGCATTGCTTCCACTATTCTGGAAGTAACACTCAACATCACCTCTGTCATTGTGGGTGTCTATGGTTCAGAAAGCAAGGCAGATGGACGCCATGAGTGTATACAGCCCTAGGAGGCAGGAAACTGGTGGATGGCTGTGGTTCTTCTGGCTAGAGTCTCTTTCTTCTCTAGATTTCCCTAATTATGAAAAGATTGAAGCTCCCACACACTCTATTGAGTTCCTCTCTTACACTCTCTTAAAGGTGGAGTCACACCTATGGCAGCAAAGTGCTTTAACTCTTTACGTGCAGTGTCTTACACTTGCCCTGGTGCACCACTCCACCCTCTATCCCTGATCCGCACAGCCATTACATAGGTTACTTCTCTGTAACTGATTGTGGCAAGTATAGTAAAGAGCCCACCTTTTGATAAATACAGAAAATATATGGAGTCTCTGAAGGTAAATTCAATTTAAATGTAAACAAGAAATATAAAAATAATTGTAATTCATTACAGAACAATACCATAACAAAGAAAACTATTAAATATATAGGACAGTTTTATGCGGAGGGTAAATTGCTCTTGGTCTGCTATTAAAGACTACCACTGAATTCATGATGCAAGTGTTAATGATACAAGACTGTCTGTGATTATTATTTATTTATTTATTTATAAAATATTTTACCAGGAAAGATACATTGAGACTTCTCTCGTTTTCAAGTATGTCCTGGGATTAGAAATATGCCATATTTAATTTCTTTTTTTTGGTTTTGTTTATTGATCCTGAGTTTATCATTTCAGTATGTATAGGTCAGATAGGTTGGATTTTGATGGGTCCTTGGTTGATGTGTCTCCTCTTCCTGCAGTGCCTTAATTCCTACTGCTCTTTGGTGGTGACAGATCATATAATTTAAGCTACTTTTTGAACTGACACCTTTAGTGTGTCATATGTATTGCAAGTATTATTATTAATAAATAAGCCCATCATAAAAAGCTACACCTAGATAAACTGATGCATTGGTCTTCGCCATTTCTATTGCAACCTATACAGAATTAGTGACAATCCTTTTGTGACATATTGGCCTTATATGTTAGTTAATACAGGTGCAGCCTAGATGTTAATCTGCTCGCTAGCATAAAATGAAAATAAGCCTTTCCGACTCTGGCCAGAAATGTTATTAACAAGAAAGGTGGCAGGCCTGCATATAGGCAATTCTTCAAGATGCCAGGGACCACCCATATAATACTGCTTAATTCATTTACATTATTGTAACTAAGTCCATTCAAATATGTCATCATTCATCTTCATCCATTACGTTTAAACCATAGTCTTCCAGATTTACACTGCCTCCTCCTGTGAACTACAAGCACATCTAATGTGTTTATAGTTTGAATGACATCCTTAGAGACAGGTGGAACAAAACCTCTAAGCAGCAGTAAAACTGAGACATTTGTATGCATGGACACAAATTTCTTGGGAGTGGAAAACCCAACCCTTGTGTTACTTTTATAGCAGTAGCTGTAGCAAGATTGTTAATATTGACAGTTAAAACTGGGCTTCAAAATTAACTCACTATAGTTGCAGGCATCACAGTGCACCTTGTTACTAAGTTTTTGTTCCAATTAGAAAACACATTAGTGTTATACACTTTTCTGGGAAATGAGACGTCATCATAAAATTTTAGGTTTTGACAATTCTACCACTAAACATAGATAGTAAAGGTGGTGACACAGAAGCATGGGGGGCAGGGGGGGAGGTGGGGGGGGGGGAGATTTATCGAAGTGTTCTGTGTGTGTGTTTTTTGGGGGGTGAAAGATAAGAGTAACACGTTTTAAGAGTAACCAGGAAGGGAGGAATCCGCACTCATCAAATAAACGAAACCAGGTGCACAACTGGACCTGAGGCTGGCAAACCCCATACATAAATGTAGAAAGCAAAGTCAACCAGGAAGGGAGGAATCCGCACTCATCTAATAAATGAAACCAGGTGCACAGAAAGGAATAAAAACCTCATCGCAGGTCGAAACATTGCTGTTTATGTTCTGACTCTCCAAATAAATCTGCTACCTTTTTGTGCCTTGGGTGCCTGGATCACATTGTTTTCTCCAGTTTTAAGAGTAGTCTGAAAATTGCAACTTTTCTTATATGTTTATAGTGAATATATTGAAAGATTTTGGCACCTCCACATTTACATCTCACTAAGAATACTATGAGAATATGTTGCATGTACCGTTGTTGACTTTCTATACCAAAATAAAAGTGGTGTAAAAAAATGTCATCAAATAAAATATGTGTGGTCCAAAAAACATAGAAACCGTAATAAATGGAATGCAATATATAAATAGTAATGCAACAATAAATAAATAAGGAAAAGTAGCATAAATGATGAATAGTGCGAAAAAAATCAGAAATTTCATTTAAAGGAAAGGTGCAGATAATTCACCAATACTTTGATAAATCTCCCCCTATTGTGCCTGCTTTTCACGCTCTAAAGCAATGTGTGTCTTGGATGTAACAGGAACAAACTGGATTGAGTAGTTGTCAATTAAAGGACCACTATAGGCACCCAGACCACTTCAGCTTAATGAAGTGGTCTGGGTGCCAGGTCCATCTAGGATTAACCCTTTCTGCTGTAAACATAGCAGTTTCAGAAAAACTGCTATGTTTACATTAGGGTTAATCCAGCCTCTAGTGGCTCTCTCATTGATAGCCGCTAGAGGCACTTCCGTGCTTCTCACTGTGAAAACGAGTATGTTTTCCTGGCACTATAGTGGTCCTTTAACCCCTTAAGGACACATGACATTTGTGACATGTCACGATTCCCTTTAATTCCAGAAGTTTGGTCCTTAAGGGGTTAAATCTTTAATGTGCATTTAATAGAAATTAGACCATTAGGGGAAAAGGATAACACAAGTTACTCTTTTGTTCTTCTATACAATGGTGTAATTTTGATAAATGTTTCAGTTTTCCTTCAGCCTGCTGGCTGGGTATGATGGGCACACACTTAACTGAAGTTGAAAGACCAAATGCTGGGCACCCCAAAGCTAAAAGATAAGCAGGTATCTCTCCCTATAAACACTGGCATCACTCTCCATCGAATTCATTGAAATCTAGCTGAGTTCAGTACACTCTCTAGGGCAGAGATTTTCTGTTCTGCTGTCAAATGCTATGTGCATTTATTGAAAGCAATTGCCAGGCCATGATGATGATGACTATGATGATAAAAATGTTGTATGGGGGGCCTGGGGATCCATCTCTCTCTGCTATTAGTATGATGATGATGATAACGTTATTATGGAGGTCCAGGGAACCCCCCTCTCTGTTATTATGATAGTTTTGTCTATGGAAAGTCAGGGGATCTCTCTGGTGTTATTATTATGATGATAATGTTGTCTATGGAGGGCCAGTGGGATCCATCACTCTTTCTGTGTACTATTATGATAATGTTGTTAATCGAGGTCTAAGGGTTCCCTCTCCCTCCCTTCCTGTGTATTAGTATGATAATGTTGTTTATGGAGGGCTGGAGGCCCTCTGTATTATGATGATAATGTTATAGTACAGATCCTGGGTTTCTCTCTCTGTATTATGATGATAGTGTTAAAGTATTTGTCCTGGGTTTATCTCTCTCTGTATTATGATGATAGTGTTATATTATATGTCCTGGGTTCCCCCTCTCTCTCTGTATTATGATAATAGCATAGTGCTGATAATTGAGGTCATGGGGTTCTCTCTCTTTCTCTCTGTGTGTGTTATTATGGTGATAGAGAGAGGGAACCCCAGGACCTCAATTATCAACACTATCACCATAACAACACAGAGAGAGGGAACCCCAGGACCTCAATTATCAACACTGTGTTATTAGGTGATAGTGTTAATAATTGGGGTCCCCTCTCTCTCTGTATTATGATGATAGTATAGTGTTAATAATTGGGGTCCTTGGTTTCCCCTCTCTCAGTGTTAATATGGTGATAGTGTTAATAATTGGGGTCCTGCGGTTCCCTCTCTCAGTGTGTTATTATGGCGATAGTGTTAATAATTGGGGTTCCCTCTCTCAGTGTGTTATTGGGTGATAGTGTTAATAATTGGGGTCCCCTCTCTCTCTGTATTATGATGATAGTATAGTGTTAATAATTGGGGTCCTGGGTCCCCCCTCTCTCAGTGTGTTATTATGGTGATAGTGTTAATAATTGGGGTCCCCCCTCTCTCAGTGTTATTATGATGATAGTATAGTGTTAATAATTGGGGTCCCCCCTCTCTCAGTGTTATTATGATGATAGTATAGCGTTAATAATTGGGGTCCTGGGTCCCCCCCTCTCTGTTTGTTATTATGGTGGTAGTGTTAATAATTGGGGTCCCCCCTCTCTCAGTGTGTTATTATGATGATAGTATAGTGTTAATAATTGGGGTCCTGGGTCCCCCCTCTCTGTTTGTTATTATGGTGGTAGTGTTAATAATTGGGGTCCCCCCTGTCTCAGTGTGTTATTATGATGATAGTATAGTGTTAATAATTGGGGTCCCCCCTGTCTCAGTGTGTTATTATGATGATAGTATAGTGTTAATAATTGGGGTCCCCCCTGTCTCAGTGTGTTATTATGATGATAGTATAGTGTTAATAATTGGGGGGTCCCCCCCTCCCCCTGTCTCTGAGTGTTATTATGATGATAGTATAGTGTTAATAATTGGGGTCCCCCCCTCCCCCTGTCTCAGTGTGTTATTATGATGATAGTATAGTGTTAATAATTGGGGTCCCCCCTGTCTCAGTGTGTTATTATGATGATAGTATAGTGTTAATAATTGGGGGGTCCCCCCCTCCCCCTGTCTCTGAGTGTTATTATGGGAAGCTGTTCTAGTTTGACCCTTGCAGGGTGAGGTAGTCCCTGCCCCTAAGCAGGGTGCAGTGCTGCTCGCAGTGGGGTGAGGCAGGCGAGCTGTATGCTGTGAGTGGAAAGAAGAGGAGGCCTCCCCCAGCCTGCTCCCCCACCCCCCACCTCACCCGCCCCCCTGACTCCCCCTCTCCGGACAGCGCCCCGGTGCATTGTGGGCGCAGTCCGTTGTTCATTTGCCATTCGACCTCGGCCAGGGCCGCGTACAGCGAGAGAGAGAGAGACCGACACCGAGACACTCACCTACCCAACCAGCCAGCTACCCGGCCGCCATCTCCGGACCGACCCCGAGCCGCCCTGCCGTGCCCGAGCTCGCTGTGTGTGTGAGGGGGAGCGGCCCGGAGCGGAGCGCGAGCTGGTGGTGGCCCCTGCGGGAGGGCTCGGGGCCCCCCGGTCCGGCTGCCGGCGCTGCGAGAGCCGCGAACATGGCGGAGATGAACCGCAGGACCTTGGCCTTCCGAGGAGGCGGCGGCCTCGGCCTGGCCTCCGCCATCGCCCCCGGGAACAACAACAACAACAACGGCTCCGGCCTGCTGGCCGCGGAGGAGGCCTGGGCCCTGCGGCAGGTGAATGGCGGCGGCGGCGGGGGCAGCAGCGGGCCGGCGGGCGAGGAGGTGGAGGTGGAGCTGGACGCCGAGGCCCTGCTGGAGGAGGAGGACGAGGAGGAGGCGGCTGAGGCCTACCGCGGCATGGTGATGGCCGGCCGGGCGGAGAGCAGGCAGCCCGGGGCGGGAGGAGGAGGAGGAGGCCCCGCGGCGGCCGGCGGCGGCTCGGTCAGTGTGGGGAGCAGCGAGGAGGAGGACGACGAGGAGGAAGAGGAGGAGGAGGATGAAGCGGCGGCGGCCGGGCAGGCGGGGAGAGGTGACCCGGCAGGGGTGGCCGAGGAGGAGGAAGAGGAGGATGCCCCCCGGAGATACGGCCTCCTGCCCGCCGCCCGCTCCCAGTCCCTGCTGCCCAGCCTGCACTGCTCCTTCCAGGGCTCCTGGCTGCACGAGTTCCCATGGCTGCACTTCAGCCAGGAGACAGGCCTCATGTCCTGCTCCTGGTGCCACAAAGGCCAGGGCCAGCCGGGACACGACGAGCTAGCCAAGGGGACCCGTGTCTACAAGAGGGCCACCCTGCTCCGGCACAACCAGTCCAACGAGCACCGCATGAACGACCCTGCAGCTCAGGTAAGTGGCTGGGAGCCAACACTGCTGTATAATAACACTGCTGTATAATAACACTGCTCATACAGGCTTCCAGGAATAACTGGGGGTCATAGTCCAATGCCCCCCTAATCTGACCTTCCTATTACCCTGCTGTATAATAACACTGCTCATACAGGCTTCCAGGAATAACTGGGGGCCATAGTCCAATGCCCCCCTAATCTAACCCTACTATTACCCTGCTGTATAATAACCATGCTTATACAGGCTTCCAGGAATAACTGGGGGTCATAGTCCAATGCCCCCTTAATCTGACCCTATTATTACCCTGCTGTATAATAACCATGCTTATACAGGCTTCCAGGAATAACTGGGGGTCACAGTCCCATGTCTCACCATATCTGACCTTATTTAACCCTGCTGTATAATAACCATACTAATACAGGCTTCCAGGTATAACTGGGGGTTACAGATCAATGCCCCTCTATATCTGACATTATTTAACCCTGCTTTATAATTACAATGGCCATACAGGCTTCCATGTACAGCTGGGGGCTCACCCATAATATTACTTTATTGTAATCCTGCTTTATAATAACCGTGGCCATACAGGCTTCCAGGTATAACTGGGAGGCCACAATCTAATACCCCCTAATCGGACTTTATTGTAACCCTGCTCCTGACTTTATCAAATCTTTATCTTCCAGCTAATACACTATAGCAACACATTGTATCAAATTGCTTTTACTCCTGATATAAACACGTTTAGTACCATGAACTATTGGAATTAAGCTATGACACCCCATAGTGTGTTTTTACCAGAGTTCAGACATTAGGCTCCAGCACTGCTGGATAGTGGGATATTTCGGTGTAATCTGACGTTTTGGATAGAGTTACATCCGTCCATTGATACTGAAGTCCCATTGTTGGTTGTTTTGGCTGTGATGCCTCAGAGTGCTATGAGTCACGATGCTAACACATGCCACTTGTAACCAAGCTGTTGGCTAGTGTGCCAAATATTAACCTGTTCTGTTTGTTAGTGTATACACATCTGTAATGGTCCCTTTGCACAGTAAGGAATCTGATACACATTGATACAAGCTCTGGGGATAGGGTGCAGGGGATCGGTTCACGTGATGAGCCACCCCTTTGTTGGGCAGATGGAAGCCATGTCCTTGGGGATCTGTGTCTGTGCACCCCACCCTCGGTGTAAGCTGATTACACTATCTGCTAAGAGGAGGAGGAGGGGCGGCTGGTGCTAAGTGCAGTCATCTGAGAAGCAAGGGGTGACCTACATAGTATGAAGGAGCCTGAGCTGGTGTGAGACCCAGGCCGGAAGTGTGTTCCCCGCCCTCCCCGTTCTCCTAGGCCCCCATCTTCTCTTCCTGTGCCCCCTCCTTCTCTCCTCCCCAGCTCCCCCAGGTGGGCGCCGCCCGCAGCAGGACTGTCCCGGGGTAGAGACGTGTCGCTACGTGGCTGTTACCCAAACTGACTGCCTTGCTGCCCCCGATAGGGGGTCTCTCTGTAACACAGATCCCTAATGTTGTGACCAGCTGGCTTCACTCTCCCATGTCCTGGTCTAAGGGCAGGAAGGCCTAGCACGTAAACAGCATAAAATAGTGGTTCATTAGGTAATGGCCAACAGGTACATCTCAGGTGTATTAGAACTACAGCTCTTAATGAGTTTTATTCATAAACGGTTAGGGAAACACACTTTGCTTTCCCTGAATAATAGCTTCTTAGCTATGTTTCAATGACTAGAATTTAACTACAAAAGTTATAAGTTAAAAAGTGTCTGGTTTACTCATGGGGCATTTTGATTTTTTTTTTTTATTATTACTGTGGTTACACATGTATATACCAAAATGCTAGTCATGTGAAAATATTAATGCTCTGCAGAACATTCCTGTTTTGGCAAGTGCATAATGTGTGCACTATACTGGGTTTTGTGAGTGTAAAAGAAGAGCACAATGCATATGTGATATACCCTTTAAGGGCCCTAATACATAATGTTGCCACAGTTGTAGTTTTATAATAAAATGATGCACCTATACCCGTATGTACATGCAAAATATGTGCATTAATTTTTTGAATATAATATTATATTCTTAGATGGATACCTTCAACGTGTAACACTACATTTTAGCATTTTTGTACAATTAAAGTTGCACATAGTTTGCAATTTATGTAATGTTATTACTTTTTCCCCCACTCATTATTTTACATATTTTATTATAAGTGATATATATGTTGTAGATGGTTATTAGTATAATTGTGCAGTCTCAAAATCAATGCATTACCCACTATAAGGCTTTGAAAAGTAAAAACAATAAAATTTGACACCTGTATGTCACAGACATATGGATATAAACAGAAAATTTGCCTGGTTTACAAAAATTATATTCTGATCTATACATTTTATGGAAAATTAGCAGGCATTGTGTGTGTATGTGTATATTTATAGTAGATTGGATTAGCCGTATTAGTTCAATAGACAAGATGCCACAATATCAGAGTATTGCAGTATGCAATAATCCTTTTTTATTTGACTAACATAATATTTCGAAGACAAGCTTGCAAGAGTTTTCCCTCTCTTCCTCACCGAGGAAGAGAAAAGGCTTGTCTTTGAAATATGATGTTAGTCCAATAAAATGTATCCTTGTATACTGCCATACTCTGGTATTTTGGTTTGTGTATATGTGTGACAAATTAAAATAAACCGGCAAAAGAGGACAGGCTGTCTAAATACATTGATTATTGGAAAGAAAATATTTGTTGAAATATTGTATCCTCTTTTACGCATTTAACATTTACTTTATTTTCCTATTTTAGGAGCCTGACATAAAACCGGAAGTGGCAGAGTCATACAGTGAATACAGTACCAAGCCAAATGAGAATTCTTATTGCTACCAACTGCTGCAAGAGTTAAATGAGCAGAGAAAAAAAGGGATACTTTGCGATGTCAACATAGTGGTAAACGGAAAAGTTTTCAGAGCTCATAAAAATATACTGGTTGCAGGAAGCCGTTTTTTTAAAACCTTATACTGTTTTACAAACAAAGAAAGCCGTGACCAAACCACTGTTACCTATTTAGATGTTGTTGCTGTTCATGGTTTTTCCATCATCTTGGACTTCATGTACTCTGGTAACCTTGTACTCACCAGCCAAAATGCCATTGAGGTGATGACTGTGGCCAGCTACCTGCAGATGACTGAGGTTGTACAGTCCTGTCGTAACTTCATCAAAGATGCCTTGAATATCAGTATCAAAAATGAAGCTCCAGAGAACATTATGGTGAACTATAACAAACGAAAAAATAAGGATGGCCCTGCACACCGTGACCAAAAAGCGGTAAGCTTCTGGGCCACACGCAATCTGACTAGTTTGGCGAGCAGTGTGAAGCTAGAAGATGGGTTTAATTTAGATGAAACACCAAATGAGAGCTTTCAGTCAAACGATTCTACATGGATTCAGGACAGTTCTCCGGAAGTGACGGAAATCGAGCCACAAGGTCAGGCAAAAGTGTTTGTGTGGAATGATATGGGCTCCAATTCAGTTGGGATGCAAGAGCCCAGCAAACAGAGAAGGAAAAACTTAACCACAAAAAGATTTGTTTATAATATCCCTCCAAACAATGAACTTCAAGTGGATAGTAACACAATGCTCCCGCAACCCATTCCCTACACAGAAGAGGATGTGCAGTGCTTCCATGATGGAGCAGGTAATCTTACATGTGAGTGTAAATGTGTATTTTTTGGGGGGGCATAATGGTTTTAAAGATGTTACAAAAATTCAACTGCTTTACTTTGTTGCTTAGATGCAGAGTTTAAGAATCTGGATCTGATATTTGCTGTTATTAATGTATAGGTCTTTTTTCTTTAGCCATACTTGCAGAGTTATTTGTCAGTGTGAAAATTGTTGGGAATTTAAATGATCAAATTTAGGGGCAAAATAGACAAATTACAAAAACCTTTTTGTCAGTCAGCTTCCAGTTTGACTGCTTTGGCTTTAAATTGAATTCCTGGCAATTCTCATTTTAGTGAGCAACCCTGTTGGTGTTTGTTTTATTGTAAGTGCTTCAAGTTCTGGGAGCACAGACTTTTCATGAGCAGGCTTTAAACGGTATAATTTGTATAGCTGATACATATGAAACTGTATGGAGAGAAAATGGACGTTCTTATACAGTGTGTATAAAAATGCTTAGGCAGTACTATATAATTCAATTACCAGCTACTTGTTCTCTCATTAATGCAGTATTAACTGGGATTAAAAAAAGCAGCCTATGGGAAAAAATTATATATATATATATATATATATATATATATATATATATATATATATATATATATATATATATATATATATATATATAATATATATATATAATCTCTCTCTCACTAATTCACTTACTGCTGCTGTTCCGTATTGTGGGTGGCTTCACCTCCCTATGATGCCTTGAGCATGCAGAAATGATGTACTGTAGTGTGCATGCTTGGGTATTCCTTCAATTGTGCTCTGTCTGCATCCATATGGTACTGCAGAATTTGGAATAATTTACGCACTTTTGCCCAGCAGCCCATGTATGTTTAAAATCTATGTTCGCTATTCCGTTGTGCAAAATTCTCACATGGATCTTATACTTGGTGTGAAAACATCTGCGAAGTTGTATATTTACAGCTTTCTATATACAAATGTTTGGCCCTAGCAAGTTGCTAAGCATGTAGGTTCCCTGACTCATGGAACTTATCACAAATTGTCCATTTAATGCACTTAAAATACTTTACACTATACATCTAGTTTTTTGCATGAAATCCAACATTCATTATATTAGCTGCTATCTTAAATAGGGAATGACAATTTCCATTTTAAAATCTAGATATGTTAATTTATATGCACTTCCTGTTTGTTACTTCTAGTCTGGTGCTACACAACCAGTCCTGAAATTAAAGGCATACTTTCAGCTATGGTTTAACTATAAAATGAACATGTTTGTCATACTGGAAAATACAGCATTTTGTGATCTTCCTTTAGTACAAGTGACTTGACTTGGCCTGGTCTTTTTCATTGAGATCCCTAATCACACCTCTGCAAAACTAGTGTAATGTTAGAATTTTTGTCTGCTGGTGAGTCCTGAGGAGACTGTTCTTGGTTGTACTTTGGTAATGGATACCCTACCACAGTAATGCGATCAATGGTATGTAAATGCAGTCTTAATATTTACAAAATATAAAAGTGAAAATCTATATGGTAAATATTTTGAAGCCCACTACGAATTTGCTTGTGTTAGTTTGATATAAGAGCACTTCTTTACACATGCAGGGAGTCTCTTGTCATTTATAGAATATGGCTTATTTTTATGCTCCTTCTTCTATAAAAGGTCCATTGTCTGGCGTAAGCTTATATACATCACAGAGAGTTATTAGTAGGGGATTCTGAGTGTGAACTGTATGGTTGGGAATCAACAGTGGTGCTGTATTACAAAAAACTTTAATTTGTTATTGCTTTATTTTTCTCTCTCTCTTTCTGCATCTGGCGTCATGCAAAATAATCTGCGTAATGTCTTTAGCATGATGCATCAGAGCTGTTCTTAAATATTGGGTGCATGTGATGTTACCTCGTGACCTCTAACCTGTGCACAGATGATTATAAATGTATCTTCTTTAAATCTTCTGTGAAATAATTTTAAAAAATTTTAATTTATTTTTTTGCAACACTGCATTCGCTTTCAAGATTGGTTTGTTCTAAAATTTTATTTTCTGTAATGCCTTCATAATAAATACCATTCTTTAAAACACAGTGTAGCCAATTACATATGGACTTTCTGTATGTGGTGCTTACATTTCACTTCAGATGCAGTTATTATTACTTACTTATTCTTTTTGTATTGTTAATTTATTTCTGCTTGTGCTAGGCTTTCAAATCATTTTTGTAAAGGAAGACAACGGAGACTTGTGTTGCAATTTATCACTGGGGTGTTTCTTAATCATAGTCACACACCTTCTAGTGTCTAAACAAAGGGGACAGCAGGTAGAAAGCACAGGCATCAGGTTTGTGTTACTAATTATATGTGCTAGTATGTTATGTTCGTGCACCGTAAAACAATTCTCTCTTGTTTTGTGATGGCTCATTATTTATTTTTTATTTTATTTATTTAGTTATTTTTATTAATACACATCTGTGAATTTTATTTATAGCTGGATTAAAAATAAAACTGGATTCTGTTATGTCTGACTGCTAGATTCTACAAATTTCTTACACGTGTTACACGTGGTAATAGCTCAGGTATCTTGGACATAGAATAAGGTTGATATATTAGCATGCATTATTGTAACTTACCATATCTAGTACTCCAAATGATCTCCTTGATCAATTGAGGATGGTTGGCAGTGTTTCCAGCCTCATTCATGGAGTTGATTCCCATTATAGTGATTAGTCAGCATAATTCATAATTTTATAGTAAACCTGCATGCTAAAGATCTAAGCAACTTATAGAAGCCAGATTGTTGTGATTTAACTAATGTCTTGTCATTTCTGGTCTGAATGTCTGAGAAATCACTGTAGTGAGGCTGTGTCTTTGGTTAAATTGAGTTTGTGGTCACTTCACAAGTTTACTTGAGCTCAGCTGTGACAAGGCTTTCAATTCCTAACTCAGCTGGATAATGTCGTTTGTGAACAGACGCCTTTGTCTTGTGACGCCTTAATGTGCCCTTTTGTATGTTTTTGTTGTCCATTATTCCCTTCTTTAATGATTGCCATACAAATTTCATTAGAAGATTACCACTAAGTTATTGAACCAGAATCTTGAGACTGGGTGGTTCCTTTCTTTCTTTTTTTGGCTCAAACAAGATTATAGTTGGGTTCTAGGTGAAGCCCCTTGGAACGTTTTTTTTTTTTTTTCTTGCTTACATAGTCACAGCAGTGGACAGTCAAACAAGCCTGTTCTCAGATTCACAGCTTTGAATGTTGAGGTGATCACTGTCTGTTGGTGCAGATCTTTTTAGATCTATGTGTATAATGGCTATCCACTTTTGACAGCAATGAACCTTCTGAAAGGAATACAGTGCAGGTTAAAAATGACCCTTTTCAGCTGTGCAAAGGCTAGCCACTGATTGTAAAGGTTTTAGTTTAATACATGCCTTACTGTGACATGTTCGTTCATTAGCATGATGCTAATAAAATAGTTGTCTGTAGGCTAAGCACAGTAAAAGGACTTGAGTCATTATGCCTTCACTGGCTTTGTTCACAGTAACGTTTTTTTTTTTTAAAAGACATTGTGCTTATATTATATATGTACATTACTCGAAACTTATCCAAAGGATGCTTTTCGACAGATCTCTACCAGCACTAGTTCTGTAACCAGTGGAATCTCAAACTCAAAATTTTTACAGCAATATGCTATCACAGGATGCTTAGGACTGAGACTCCAAGCCTTCCCATTATAAACTGACCCTAAAAGTGAAATATTGAGCATTACATTAGGATTTGAGTTCTACGTCTAAAGTACAGGAATGTACAAAATGTTTATATATTCAGTTACTTTGTAATGTGCTTTAGAGATCAGTGTTTGGTCCAAAGAGCTAAGAGCATCCTGAGCTGAGATATCTTGGATTCCATTAACTTCTGTATAACCATAATGTTTTGTCCAATGCCATGACACAAATAAAAATGAACTGGTGGTTTTCAATACCAATATATAAGGCTAATCACTAAAAATTAATAAATAAAATAAAAAATGGTAACGTTAAAAATGGTCAAGCAACCAATGTGTTAATAATTGGGCCACTTGAGATTGACTGATTCTGCTCCTTTAAAATTGTGCATTTTTAGATGTGGAAAGTAAAATTGCTGTGCCTTATTTTTGTTGTTCCTCCTATTTACTACATTTATTTTTGTTTTTCTCTCAGGGACCTCAAATGAATATAAGTTTTTCCCAGATTCATGGACAAGAGAAAATTATTTTGAAAATGGTAAGGTCATATGACTTTAAAAAAAATTATATATTTTTTTCCCCTCCAAATAGTTTTTAACTCCTTAAGGACCAAACTTATGGAATAAAAGGGACTCCTGACTAGAGATGTCGCGAACGGTTCGCCACGAGATTGGCCGGGATGTGTCAGCTGACCGGAGTTCGCCGCGAACAGTTCGTGGCGAACCGTTCGCGGACGGTTCGCGACATCTCTACTCCTGACATGTTACGTGTCCTTAAGGGGTTAAAAGTGCGTAAATTGATAGAGCTGTAAATCTTAAATTGTTATTCCAACCAACATTACCATTTCACTGATTAGAAGTGGTCGTGATGGTAGGTGTATGTATGTGCAGTGTTTCAGCTCGAAACACTGCACATAAGCAGTTATTAATGGTGTGGAAGTTGCATGCATGACTTAGGCAGAAAAGTACTGTGCTCTATGCTTCCTGATTTAAAACTGGTACAGATTTTACAGCTGGCAACAGACATAAGAATATTCACCATGCAGACAGACTGCCTGCAAGGGGAAGGTAACCATCCCTTCCCATCATGTGGGAGCTCCCTTCTTTCTGCCTTCATTTATAGACTGGGAGAAATCCTTCCACCTGCACACCCCCTCACATGGCTGGCCCAGAGTGCGCACATGTTCTGAGCCAGCAAAACTGCCCACTCACAGGCTTCTCTATAAGAGAAGTCTGTGATTGGACTGGGTGTGTGCGTGCTGGGTGAAGTCACGACTGACTGTGGAAGATCAGCACCGGGAGCAGTGCCTGGCTTCGGATTAAGGGAAGTTTAAATCTTTATTATTTTTTTATTTGCAGGAAAGAATGGGGGGTGGTAATAGTTATACCCCACAAGGCATTTATAATGTAAACAGTCTTTATTATTATCAGGGTTGGAGTAATTATTTTATCTGTTCAGTATTCTGACATTTTCTACTTGCAAATTTTGGTGTTTAAATTATACTTTTATTTTTTTATTTAGGTGATGCATCTGCTGGTTTGATAAACAAGTTAAAATGTCCGCATTGCAATTATGTAGCAAAATATAGAAGGACACTAAAAAGGCACTTGCTCATTCATACTGGAGTGAGATCATTTAGTTGCGACATCTGTGGGAAGTTGTTTACCAGAAGAGAGCATGTGAAAAGGCATTCCTTGGTAAGTGCCCACTCCCTATTCACCCCCCACACTTTCAGTATATTTGTTTGCGATAAGGGTGACTGTAAATAGAAGGAAAGAGACGTCTTTACATGTTGATGTGTAAAACCGATAAACATTTGTTAATAGAATCACGGAGAGTAGAAAATACACTTGGTCTGTTTATTTTAAATATCTCATAAGTGAAAAAACTTGTAAGAATAAATAGCAAAGCTCTTTAAAACCATACAAGTGGTCGATATTTCACCAGGTTGCACAGGTTACATGTAAAACACAAATAGAAGGGGGGCAGGGCCTGACTGTCATCGTGGAGAGGCGTGCTTTGAGCGAGCTTCTCTCCTATACTGGCAATTTAAGGACTTTGCCGCTCCACACAACTCGATATACATCGAACCCAGCGACCTACATGTAGATGTAGACACTAGCTGACATACCCTGTAGGTATTGGGGGGCAAGACTATTTTTCGTTTATTAATGCCTTTTTCTACCTTGAAGTCCTATTAATGTGTGTCCTTCACTTTGGCTGAGATCATGAAACTTGATGAACTCAGCCAATCCAGTGCTTTCCCATAGGAAAGCATGAGGAGGCAAAAAGCTGCGTGGCCAATCAGCATCTCCATGGGGAGCGTTCAGCGCCTCCATACAGACCCAATCTAATACACTGCCCTCTCCCCCATTCTAATACACTGCTCCTCCTCCCTCCATTCTAATTGAATAAGCTGTCCCCCTCCCACCACACTAATACATTGCCCTCCCATTAATTTAACACAATGCCTTCCCCTTCCACCACTCTAATACACTGCTCACTCCCTCCCCCAATTTTATGCACTGCTCCCTCCCCCAATTTTATGCACTGCTCACTTCCTCCCCCGATTTTTATACACTGCTCACTTCCTCCCCCGATTTTTATACACTGCTCACTTCCTCCCCCGATTTTTATACACTGCTCACTTCCTCCCCCGATTTTTATACACTGCTCACTCCCTCCCCCGATTTTTATACACTGCTCACTCCCTCCCCCGATTTTTATACACTGCTCACTCCCTCCCCCGATTTTTATACACCGCTCTGTCCTTTCCTCAAATACACTGTCCCCTCCTCAATTTAGCACACTAAAAAGGAAGGTCTCCCAAGCCCCTCTTCCCCTACTTTAAGATGAGCCACCCGTCTTCCAGTTTAACCCTGCTCTTGCAGGCCAGATGCTCCTCTGGCTCTGCGAGCAGAAGGAAAGGGTAGTGGCTGGCCTGCGGGAGCATGCGATTGGCCATGGGAGGGAAGACATGAATCAGACAGGAAATATCTCTCCTGTCTTGCAGCTGGTCGCAGCCTCAACACAAAGTGGCCCCAGGGCAGGTGGGCCACAAATATATGTGGGCCGCAAGTTTGACATGCTTGTTTTTGAGTTTTTTTGCTGTTTGGTTTTTATTTATTTATTTATTTATTTATTTATTTATTTTGAAGTGCCATTTTAGGATCAGTTTATTCAAGATACCAAATTGGGAAAGGGTCAATAAGAGTATAAAGCAATTATGAGTTTTCTCCAGCAGGGTTATTATTACACTTAAAAATATGAAATTCTCAACTAGTGTAAAGGACCACTATAGTGCCCTGAGGGTGCCCCCACCCTCAGGGTCCCCCTCCCGCCCGGCTCTGGAAGGGGGAAAGGGGTAAAAATGTACCTTTTTCCAGCGCTGGGCGGGGAGCTCTCCTCCTCCGATCCTCCTCCGTTCCTCCCCGTCTGCTGAATGCGCACGCGCGGTAAGAGATGCGCGCGCATTCAGCCGGTCGCATAGGAAAGCATTCACAATGCTTTCCTATAGACGCTGGCGTGCTCTCACTGTGAAAATCACAGTGAGAAGCACGCAAGCGCCTCTAGTGGCTGTCAATGAGAGAGCCACTAGAGGCTTTGGGGGAAGGCTTAACCCATTCATAAACATAGCAGTTTATCTGAAACTACTAGGTTTATAAAAGAATGGGTTAATACTAGCTGTACCTAGCACCCAGACCACTTCATTAAGCTGAAGTGGTCTGGGTGCCTAGAGTGTTCCTTTAACAATGTGTACTGTAGTCATTGAGACTGAGAAATACATAGAATGTGATTAGGTTTTACAAGTGACGCAACTTGCAGGGTTGTGTAGAAGTAAATAGTAGGGCACATTGTGTATAACTTTTTTTTTTTTGGTGTGTGTGTTGCTTAGGTAAAGTGACTTTGTCACCACCCTGCCACTTTGAAGTATTTCATAAAGATAAAATCTTTATCAAATTCTCATGTTGACTGTGTTGGAAATTCTAGTACAATCAAGATATTACAAAGTAAAGATTAGGTTAACAAACTTGCCAAAATGTGGAGCTTCCTCAATCATCCAGACCAGAATTCAAACTCTTATAAATCAGTTTTGCTACTTAAAGTGTGGGGGCACCAGGGAACTCCTGGCACCATAATCAGTACAGAGTTCTGGTGTTTAGACTGTTTATTTTGATTTTTTTTTTTTTAAATATTGATACCAATGTAGCTAGTTTAGTGTAAAAGCTGATTGACAGTACACTTTTAGCCTCCGAATTGCAGAGTGCAACTATCAGTTTTCTAACATTTGAGTAAACATTTATTTTTAATTTTTTTTTTTTTTTGGGGGCAACTAACTATATGCTGCATGTCTGTCTTCCATAGGTGCACAAAAAAGATAAAAAATACAAGTGCATGGTGTGTAAGAAGATCTTCATGCTGGCGGCCAGTGTAGGAATCCGACATGGCTCTCGTCGTTATGGAGTTTGTGTGGACTGTGTGGATAAATCTCAACCAGGGCTTCAAGAATCAGGTGTTGAACAGGTGGCAGATGCAGACTTCCCCAGGGATGAAGAATATGATGACAATGACGCTGTGGAGGCAGTTGATGCTGATGATGACCTTGTAGATGAGGGAGAAGATCAGAGTGACCATGCGCGGTGGTCAGAGCAAAATGACCCATCGCGTTGGGGAGAACAGAATGATCCTTCACAATGGGAAAGACCGAAACCACCACCTCGATGGGATGAGTCAGCAGACGTTTGTATGACAATAGACGACTGATTGCCAATGGGCGTTTAAAACTCATGGGTGCTGCAGCTGAACAGAATTTAAAATTTGATTGTTGAAATATTTTGGACTGAAGGCTTGCAAAATATGGTACTGTGCTGGACAATAGTTGTTGCTGTGAAAACTGTAGGGTCAAAGCCTTATAGCAAAAAAATTTATTTTAAATTTTTTTTTTCTGTTTTTATTTTTTTTTATATTTGCACAGGACTGTACAGAATACAACCATTTGGTTGAAATATACAGAGTCCTCACATCTCCAATCAGTTTTCAAAGAAAATGTATTTTTATTTATAGGATGTAGCTACGTTGGTCCTATCAAAGCATAAAACTACTATTGTATTGTTAATTCATGTATCAGTTAAATTTTTGTTGTTAGAATGACCAGAATAGATGATGAATCTGTGTATGAATGTGATGCAACCCTACAGTACTAGAGGTGTCAGAAACATATTGCTATAATCTAGAAGTGCGTTGCTGACCTCTACCATTGTACGGATCAAACTGCCTTTGCACTGCTGTTCTTCTCTTAAGCTAAGTTGCAGGTCTGTATCTATAAGGGTGTTGGTGAGGGTTTTATATTTTGCTGGCAAGTCTGTCATGGTTTAAATCCTTTTAAAAGAAAGAGCAGTGCTTGTTTTTATATCACATGTTCACTCTGTAGAGATTAGTTTCCCATTTTAAATTTATTCACTGTAATTGTATTTACCACTTTTTTTTAATTTAAATTATTTTATTATTGTTCATCACGTTATGAGGTTGCTTCAGTATAATGCTCCCTGTCCCCGATAATCAGGTCAAGTTGAAGGCTTGGCTTCTCGTCACGTGTCTGTGATGTCATGAGCAGTTAAGCAGGGATACTTTAGAATGGTTGTAAGGATACGTTCACATAAAGGGATTACTGAAAAAGCAGGAGTGCTCAGCAAATCACTCTAGGCTACAGATCTGCGATTCTGCTTCAGTGAGCTCCTCATGTATTGCTGCTTTCATATTTTTATTTTACATTCTGAATGGCAGAATGTAACTATTTATAAGTCCTGTTGTGTAGGGGTTTTATGTAGAATGTGCAGAATGATGTGGTAGCTTTCAGGTGTCAAGGAACACAATGTCCCATGCTGTTCACTGACTGCCAGTACATGCTGACATTTTATTAGACATCTGGGTCAAAAGACATTTCTCATACTCCCATCATTTAACTTTCAGACCTGTTCCATTCCTTTTTAAATGTGTGCTTTTTTTTTTTTATTATTATTCTTGCTCTTATACTTTGTGAAAAGATAACCTATTTATCAAATACAACACACTTTAAGTGAACAGGTACATAAAATGAATTTCCTTCCCTGTTACTTTGTTTAGATTGAGGTCAAACAAATTTCATTTTGATACTTAATGATCTATGAAGTTGTATTAACTTATTGTAGAAGGTTTCAGGCACTTTCTGCAGAAACAAGCCAGTACCAACTGTTTTAGTCTACAAGGAGCATGAAAGCATTGACTTTCCTATGTCCACCAAAAAGCAAGTTGACTTGTCATCTTCTTCATCCGGTAGTAAAAGTTTGGGTCATTCAATATTGAGCCAGCCTAAAAGTACTGAATGTTAATCGTTCTATTCAGTTTTGCATAATGTTACTGTTTTTATAATTTTGAAAGTCAATTATCAGGTGTTTGTATTTTTTTTTTTTTTTAATTTTTTTTTTTTACTACCAGACCATTCTGAGTGCACAACCATTTTATTTGTCAAATAAATTATTTTTTCCTCTCTTAATAGACTTAGGTTGAACTTTCACATCCGGTCTAAATTCATCTTCTTTAACACACGATGCATTGAGAGATATTCGAACGGTTGAGGTTGATATCTGATAGAGATAACAGTTCAATAAGTAGTTCATTCCATGCTTTACCCAGAGAAAGCAAACAAAACACTATAAAAGCTATTAATATTTTTAAATATACATATAAAATACCTCCCTCTCCATGACAAATGTCAAGGTTATACAATATATTAAGGAGAGAAAATGTGAGTAAATCCAGCTAGTGAATCTGTGAAATATTCAAGCACTTGTGATGGCGTTAAGCTTTGGAGGGCTAATCCACAAGGCAATTTAAATTTTACAATTCCGTTTTTCTTTCCCCTTCCTTTGGAAATGTTATCCAATTAATCCGTGGTCAAAATGATAGATATTGCATGTCCTCTTAAAGTTAACTACGGTGCGGACTTGTCTCAAATAGCCATTTCAAATGCTTACTGCAACTCGTCTCACATTTCTTCCCAAACAATGAAATGTTACTAATATTCATGTTTGGACTACTGTGCTTCACTAAGTAAGCATCCCTATTTGATTTTGTTTTTTAATGGATTTTTGGAGTGAGTGTGTCAACACCCTCTCTTTCCCACTGCTTATCCATGTTGCATATATAGTCCTACCATAAACTTGATTTTATTTGTGCTTTAAAGGTTTAAAGATAATAAATGATCCATAAAGCTCTTTAAATTACTCTCTCTTAAGCCCACTTTGCTTACTGAAATTAACAAATGGCTTGTGATATTTAATGTCAGGAAATTCTGCTAACCCGAAACCTTTTTCTTAAGCGTTGTACCTCCTAAACTTTTAAAATATGAGCAATGTGTTTGTATTTTTTTGTTTATTTTATTTTGGTGGGGTCCAAAGTAGGTTTAGTTTATTAAAAAGTTAAAATGAAAAACATAAATGAGAGTATTTTAAACGTGAAAATTCTGCTTTGTGAATATGTAAGTAAAGTATGTCTTATTTTATTCCCCCCTCCCCATTTCATCTAGCCTATATAAATAGTTTTGTTTTTTCCTTGTAGAACTGTCGATATATACATATATATATAAATATTATAATATATAAACATTTCACAAAATTCTGCTTTATTAGGAACAAACTCACTCAATGCTTAGAAACTGGACCTGGCTTTAAATTCTATTGTGCATTACTTTTTCACAAATAAGAACTTATTCTCTATAAACTGAATTCTTTTACTACTTCAATCATTTATGTATATTCGATAAATTATGACCAAATGTGATGTTAGATTGCATACAGTAAATTTAAATATACACTTGGTACACTACAGCATTGTTGTGACTTTATTTGACTTTACATGGCATCAAATGACTGAACCCATTAATATTTTAAATGCCAGAGAGCATTGAAATGCATTTGTTTGTTGGTTTACATGCGTTTTGGAAGCCACAGTTTTGTACACACTAAGCCATCTAATATGATTGTACATGTTGAGATGATGTTTTTTAAGACAGACTATTTTTGTTATTTCTAACATTTTAGCTATAAATCTTGTAATCTGTTTATTAAAGGGGCACTGCAGGATTGAAAGTGACACCCATTTTTAACCTGGTCTAACTTATTCTCCGAGGAAAAAAATATATATAACAAAGTCCCTAAAGTAGCACAGGCAAGATTCACTGATTCCAAGACCAGGAAACGGTCCACCAATCAGGATCTGTTTTACATGTTCTAGGGCATGGCTCAAAATGTTCATATTATTTTTACTAGCCATTAGTGATAGAAGATTCAGGTTTGCAGTGGCCAGTAACGGTGAGGCCTGGCTAGCAGCATAGAACTTGAAATTTTGAGCCCTGTCCGATATAATTTTCTGGTTTTACTATAAATCGTATAGAAGCTTCTATCAGTTTGCCAGCTCTGTTCGGGATTGTGAACATGGTAGTCTCTTAGTTATTTACTAAACAGTCATTTGAAAACCAGATTGCTGCACCTAGGCAAAATTGAATGGCTTGGAATTGTTTAACTTGACTCTAGTCTAACTTTTGCAATTCACTTTTCAATTCACTGTGTAGTGAGTAAAATCCTCTAATTTCAAAATGCTGGGGATTTCTTAAATATTTAGGGAGGAATTGTAATACATATAGCACACAACTTGGACTAGCAAAAGAGGCTTTCATGTTTGGGAGCAATATTATAGCTGGGAAGACAGTGACAGGGAACCTATTTGCACCATAACCTATGAGATGAGCATAGGATGCTTGGTGACCCTTTTAAGTACCAACCACAGACTTGTTCCCTTATAATATTCCCAGCTTAATAGTCAATATAGTGGGCAATTTTCATACCAATTAATGCCATTTTTAGTAGACTTATAGTACTTTAAAAAAAATAAAAATAGTCCAGAGATTTTTAATTTATTGATGCTAATTAATCCTTTATTCACACAAGCAGTGGGATTTCTAGTCTGTTGGTAATGCTGGTCCAGTCCAGCACATAATGTAATCGTGCTGCCTCTAGTCTTACACACTTCAAGCATCACTAACATACAATTATTGTAGTTGTTATGATGCCAGAGACTTGTCCCTTTGGTAATTGCCTTTTAAATTCTCAACCAGTTTTGAGTTTGTTTCTTATCTAACACCCAGGCCTTTCGCCACCTAATTCATATGGAGAAGTCTAGCATTTGTGTAGCACGATTGCCCCTATACTTAACTTGCAGGAGCTGTACAGTGAGCTTGACATACACCGTACAGTTCCCTGTCAAGCTCTATGAACAGCGCTTTGAGCTGAGCTGCATACGTCAGCAAATGGAGACTAATTTCAATAGTGTGAACAGACTACATGTTTACACCGTACAGATGGTTTAGTGGGGAAGCTAGACTTCTGGTTGTGGTGTAGTCCAGTTATTAATGAAGTAGCTTAAAATCTGTTAGACTGCACTATTAAAAAAAAAAAAAAATTTAAATCACTGGTTGTTGTAAAGGTTAAGTAAGTATTCGTTTTCCATGCAGAACATTTCATAATGCATGTCTGCCAGCCTGCAATATGTTATATAATTATGCTAATTGTACAGGTTCTTGAACTAGAGAAATCCCACAGAAACCTTTTTAATCCCAAATGACAAACTGACAAGTTAGTAGTGTTGATTGGTGATGTTCTGTTTACTACATTAGCATGAAAGCATTGCAGTCTGGTTTAATGGTTTTATATTTAAACTTGCTTTGTTGAATATCCTTCTACACAACTTGTCAGTGGAGGATATCGGTCTGCTGTTGATATTCAATATATTTCCTCAATTTATATACTGAATAACAAATATGGGAGGGCAACGTAAAAAGTGTTCACTATGACAATGGATAATAATGTAATTATTTGGCATTTTATTTTTCTAATTTTACAGTTTCAGAACAATGCATTTTATACCAGATTTGACTTTTGTCCATTTTCTGTGCATTTGTGGATCACCGATTGTGATATAAATTCCAGGTGTGTTTGGGGGGAGGGGAACACACACAAAACAGACAATTCATATCCAGCATTTATTTTAAAATTTATTTATGCCTGGCCCTGTAGCTGGCTTTCTCTAACATGGAGAGCTTTGTGCTTTATAAAATGCACATAATAGGCAAGTCTCAAATTTTAGCATCTGTTTGGTCTTATTGGGTATGTGTGTTCTCTGTTTTCATATTTAAAATCTTTTTTTATTTGGGTATTGCTTTTCCTCTAATTTGCATAATTATGTTTGGGGGGGGCGTTTCTTCCATGCAAAGTGATAACTGGTAAATACTTTTGAGTCTTTCTTCATAGTATATTTTGCACTGCCTGAGTGTGATTGTATCTAATTGTCTTGCATTTTTTGATAATGTAGCTTAAAGGAACACTCTGGTCACCATAACTACTTCATCTAAATGGAGGCCCACCCAACAGTAAACTTACTGTAACTAAATTCTTCCCCCCAACCTCCTGAGAGTGTAAAAATGAGCTTTAGAAGTCCCTGTTTTAATCTTAATTTTTATCAATTTTCTGCTCCTTCTGATTTCATGTCATATCCCACTTTCGCTTTCTCACTGCTTCATGCATTTCAGCTAGACTGCCCATTAAGGACCATGCTCAAGTGTTTCTTTATAACGTGTACCCCTAGAGGGGTTCACGGGGGAAAAAAAACAAAAGGTAATGGTGGCGCTGCCCCGCATGAGCTGGGGACTGCAAGATGAACGGTCCCCAACTTGGGGCCACCCGATGGACACGTGCAATGAAGGGCTCGGTTGTGCCCTTCAGCACTTTAATAATGTGACTGCGCCTCTTGTAACTTGGACAGAGGAATAAGTGAGAGGGAGATGATCACTTCCTCCCAGCTGTAACACCAAGCTGCGTGGGAGATGGGCGGACCAGGAGAGGAGATAGCCCTCAACCTGGCAGAAGCCACCCAAAAGGTATATGTGTTTGTTTTGGGTGTCAGTTTGTATAGTGTTTGTGTATCTGTGTCACTGTGTGTTTGCGTCTGTTTGTCTTTGTGCGTATCAGTATCTATGTATGTGTGCATCTGTGTGTGGGTCATTGTGTATGTATGTGTATCTGTGCTTCTCTGTATGTTAGCGTGTGTATCTACCAAGAGGCACTCTAAGTGGGAAAAAAAGGCTGGGAACCACTGGTCTATGAGAATCAGGTAAGACAGAATCAGAAAATGACACTCCTTACTGAATGTGGAGTTTCACTCAGCTCAACATATGCCCACTATGCCTACTCTGAGTCCTCAGCATTCAGACACTAGAACTTAAAAAGAACACACACGCTCTTCCTCTCAACATTAGGCATAATATAATGTCATGTTTATTATAAAGAGACAGACGTACTCATAAATACTTATAGAGCTTTGTGTGATCTGTCTCGCTGTCTGTCTCTCTCGAGGTTGACATTGGTTAGTGAGGTTGGCTGGCGGGGGAGGGGGTTAACACTGGGTGGGGAGGTTGACAGCTAGTGAGGTTAACTGGTGGGGGGGGGGTTTAACACTGGGTAGGGAGGTTGGCTTGCAGGGACTGAAGAAGAGCACATATGGACTCAGTGCAGCCTGTGCTGTGAGCATTCCTTACACTAGATAAGCTACGCCTCTATTTTCATTGGCTGCAAAAGGTATGTTTCTTTTAGAGACTGGGAATCAGGAATATGTTGAAATGTGAGGGGGGGGGGGGGTTTGGCTAATGAAGCTTGGTTACACTGCTGAAAACTGCAAAAACATTTTACAGCACTGCAGGAAAACTACACCTAATTGAAAGAGAAACTAACCTTTTTAGCTAAAACATACAAATAAGTAGGGTAGATTATTTTATATATATATATATATATATATATATATATATATATATAAATAAAACTCTCCAATTACGAGATAATACCACCTTAAGTAGGTACAAGAAATATAATTCCCGAGATCTAAGGGAGAGCTGCAAAATAGAACATAGGGTGATAACGTCAAATGTCTGTCACCCCGCACTATGTAATGCACTCACAGGAATTTGGATAATTTCAAGCCCATCTTATACACATCATTCTTCGTGATGAATCTGTTTTCAATGGAAGATGGTTCCTTGGAGCTTGTAATAAAGCAAAAACAGGAGGATAGTGCAGATTGTAAATAAAAACACTTATTTAGATTGAAGTAAAAACAGGCATATATCTGAAATATTCAGATATAGATGGAGTAGATATCCAGCCGTGTGTGTGTGAGATAAAATTAAAACTAAAATAAAGGTCAAAAGTCCCCTTAACTGTATCCAACGCGTTTTGTCGTACTTTACTTCTTCAGGGATATGATATTGAACTCACGTTGGACGTCCATAGTATAGCATTGAGTAATGCTTTCCTATGGCGGTTTGAATGCGCGCGCAGCTCTGGCTGCACATGTGCAGTCGGCACCACTCTGGAGCTGATGTCGACCAAGAGGAAGGGGGGCTCCGAGGGAGGGCGGGACCTGATAACCCTATAGTGCCTTAAAATGGGTTTGTATTCCTGGCACTATAGGATCCCTTTAATGTGTCCCTTTTGTATTCTTATAGAGTTTGTATGCAAAAACTGCTTAATTAAGCTAAAGTTTTTTTTTTTTTTTTATGCCTATAGTGTCTATTTACAGTTCTGACACACGTATTCTAAAATGTATTAAAAAAAACAAAGTGAGATGAAAAAAAAAATTAGTTATGCTAGTTTACACCGAAGCCACCACCAGCAGAAGAGCAGTTCACTGTGCTGCCATGTTCTCCTTTTAGCTCCCAGGCAGCTTCATTTCCCACTAGTTGCTTCACTGCTCAATTCTCACACGTGTGTAAGAATACTGAATGGCCTCTAAGTAAGGTTCCACATGAGCTGTTGTTCGTAGATTCTTCCTACTTCTTTCAGTACAATGAACAAGGAAAGGTTTTTTTGTGTGCAACAGACAAAAAACTATTATTGTGGCTCACGATTTTCATTTCTGTGCTAAAAAATGGGGAGGAAATGGAGCAAAGGAAAGCTGTTTAACCCCTTAAGGACACATGTCATGATTCCCTTTTATTCCAGAAGTTTGGTCCTTAAGGGGTTAAAGGGATACTCC